GAGTGGACACCCAGCATCCCTTTCACCATCTCTCATCCCCAGGTGACCCTGCTGGACTTTGGTGCAAGCCGGGAATTTGGGACTGAATTCACAGACCATTACATCGAGGTGAGCCCCCCACCAACTCTGGGGTCTTTGAGGGGCCAGCCTCAAGCCCACTACTGAGGTGAGGGGGTGAAAAGGAGCACTATCGCGGCTGGAGTTAAGGAGTCATAAGTAAGGGTAACAGTTAACAAACGCCCGAGCCCTTAATGTGGCGTCAGGCCCTGCTTGAGGTGCTATATCCGTGTGACCGCTCACCTAAACCGTAGAGCGAATGTATGGACTCAGGACCGTGATTAGTCTCACTTTACAGAGGAAGTTACTGGAGCTCAGAGAAGTTGGGGATTCAGCTTCAGGGAGCCTAAGTCCAGAGCCCGTGCTCCCAAAGCCTGACCAGCCCCTTTCTAAGAGGCTCACAGTGGCCGCCCTGCCACCTCCCACACCCCAGGCTGTCCCAGGCCTTGCTGTTCAGCCTTACACTCAAACACCTCCCCTGCAGGCTGCTTGGTGGGCGGGAGGGGGGGGGGGCACGCAGCTCTCCTCAGGAAGCGCTTCCTCACTTCTGTGCCCCTCCCTCCCACCCACCTATTCCTGGCATCTCATTAAGTAGTTGAGATTAGCCATTTGACCTGCGTCTTCTACTCATTTACTCATCAATCCAAATATTCTCTGACAGTCCCCCTGTGCCCAGCCCTCTTCCGGGCCATGCCGGGGACAACAGCCACCCATCCAACCCCGGGCCCACCTTCACGGAGCTCACACACCAGGAGGGTGACTGACAGGACCCAGCGGGGTGGGGGCTGGAATGGGGAAGCACAGGAGACTGTAGAACCCCAGAGGGGGAGGCTGGGCCAGCCTAAGGGGTCAGGGGGAGCTTCCTGGAGGAGGAGGCCTCAGAGTGGAGACCTGAGGGATGAGGAGACCAGTCAGGAAGAGGCAAGGAGGGCATTCCAGACTGACGAGGCCAACAGGAGAGAAGGGATATTCCCGTTAGAGCAGCGCTTCTCAAACTTCTGTGTATAGGAGACCCCACGGCCCCCACGCCCGGCATGATCCTATTAAACGCACGTCGTGGTCTGGAGTCGGGCACAAGGTGCTGCATTTCTAGCCCACGCCCAGGTGATGACACACGTACAGGACCACACTGTGAATAGGAAGTCCTAGAGGACCAAAAGCAAGTTCATTTCTGACTGGGCCAGCAGGTTGGGGCAGAGGAGGGGCCGGCTGAGCTGGAGCCAAATCTCTCTGAGTGTGAAAAGCCATGCTTTGCAGCTTGAACTTTATCCAGGTGCCGTGGGGACCCACGGAAGGGAACTGAGCCGGGGAGCACAGAGAATCAGAAAAGTCCCTCAGAATAAGGCGTCGCCTGGGGGACTGGCGGCTGGGAGCCCGGGACGGGGAAGAGAGGACAAGGCCTAGGGCTCTGGCTTGGGGACTAGGGGATGATGGGGCCGCTGGTGACGTAGGGACACCCCCCCCCCCTACCGCCAGGCCCCTTGGGCCCTCTCTCAAGGCCCCTCGAGGCACAAAGCTGAGACTTCTCTCTCTCTCTGTAGTTGGGACATCTTGTGCGTCCCCCCATGCTCCCCCAGGCCTACCTGGCAAGGCTCTCCTCCAGTCTCCCCAGCCTTTTCCAGTCTAAAAAAGCCCTGTCACACCGGTCCCCGAGGACCACAGGCCTGACAGATGGCCAGACAGGCTCGGGCAGGGGGGCCTGAGACGGACTAGAACCGCCGCGTTTAATCCCGTATTCCCGTTCCTCCCGAGAAAGTGGTTCGGGTTTCCACGCCGTGCCTTGCTGTTCCCCCACTCAGCCTGTTTCCTTTTCTGTGAAGTGGGGATCTTCACATGCACCCCTACAGGCAGCTCATCCTGCAGGCAGGCTCAGTGCTAAGTACTCCACAGATCCCACCTCCTCTCTCCCTACAACCACCGGCGAGGAAGATACTTCCATCATCCCCACTTCACAGATGAGAAAGCGGAGGCCCCAGAGCAAAGCGACTTGCCCAGAGTCTCTTGTCCAGCAAGTGGCAGAGCTGAGAAGGAGCCCGAGCAGGCTGGCTCTCGATTCTGTCTGCCCGCGCCCTCAACTCCTGCTCTCCCCACGTGCACTCACGGCCGGAGAGGCGCCCAGCTCCGCGCACTACCTTGCAGAACAAAGGTTCACCGAGGGCCTCCTGAATGCCAGACCTGGTGCCACGTGGGACTAGGCACAACCAGAATCCCTGCTCTCTTGGGGCCCCAAGCCCCTGTAGGAGACAGACAACCAGGCAATGACGGAGATGGCCGCGCGGCAACCTCAGGTGCAGTTCTGGGTCATGGTCACGTCCTTGTCCAGTTGAGTGTGTGGACCCAGGAATAGCACTTGACATTTATTTCCCTCTGGGTGTTTCACTGTGGTAGTTTCCAGGTGGGTGCTATGTTCCAGGCCAGGTGGGTAGAACCGCTGACCGCCCCCACCCCCAGGCTCTGGAACAGTCTTGAAGGATATATAGACAGGGTAAAGGCGAGGAGGGAATGGCTTCTAGGGGAGAGGGCTTAAGTGGACGAGAATGCAGGTGGGTACAGGGAGGGCCAGGCTTCCAGCTGGTTCATCTCCACAGTTTTCAAGACCCCTCCATGAACCCCACTCCCTTGACCTCTGACCTTCTGACGAATGCCCATTTCCCAGGTGGTGATGGCAGCAGCCAATGGAGACAGAGACCGGGTCCTGCAGAAATCCCGGGACCTCAAATTCCTCACAGGCTTTGAAACCAAGGTTGGGAAGCACTTGGGGGGATGGGTAGGGAGCTGCTTATCTGTACTGGGGGGCTCTGGGGAGGAGTGGGGGTAATGAGGGCTACTTGGCTACACAGAAACCCTGGGGAAATGGGCCTCATTTATCTATTCTAGAAGGAGGGAGTGGGGGGCTGCTAGTGGGTTCTGGGGGTGGGGAGATGGAGGCTGTTTCTCTGTTCTAGAGGAACAGAGGCTTTGAGAGGAAGTAAAGGGCCATTTTGGAGAGGCCGGGGGGCTCTGGAAGGAGCGGCGGCTGCTTAGCCCTCCTCAGGGAGAAGGGGGCTTGTGTTTATAGTTGAGACTCTGAGGGAGATGGGTTAAGTGGGGGGCTGTATGCCACACTGCAGGTCTCTTGCTCTCCCCCGTCCATAGGCATTCTCGGATGCCCACGTGGAGGCGGTGATGATCCTGGGGGAGCCCTTCGCCACCCAGGGTCCCTACGACTTTGGGGCAGGTGACACTGCCCGCCGAGTGCAGGGCCTCATCCCCGTGCTGCTGCAGCACCGGCTTCGCCCACCACCTGAGGAGACCTACGCCCTGCACCGCAAGCTGGCAGGGGCTTTCCTGGCCTGCGCCCGCCTCCGTGCCCACATCGCCTGCCGGGACCTCTTCCAGGACACCTACCACCGCTACTGGGCCAGTCGCCAGGCCTAGCCTCTGCCTGCAGCCTCCTGACCAGAAGGGACATGGGGTCAGACCCTTTAGACGGCCTCCATCCCAGGATTCTGGCCCCAAAGCAGGCCATCGTCGGCTGTGATACCTTCTCCCATTCCCCTGCAGGTCTGGGGACCACCTGTCGGACTTCCCAGTCTTGCCTAGCTCCCTTCCTTGGGGCTGGGGGAACCTCTGGCTAGGGAACTCCCAACTTCACACCCCCATATCTTGATCTTCCCATGTGGGCGTCCGGGCACTTCTACTTCAGGGACTAACTTATTTTTGCCAACATTGAAGAGCCTCAGGCCCTCTGCACCCAGTCATGCAGATCCAGACTCATCTAGATGGGGAGCCCCACACCTCTGCCTCAGGTCTCCCACGGATCTGGCCAGTGAAAGGGGGGGCCAGTGGTTGTGGAGGCAGCCCTCACCTTTGCTGCCTTCACCCCTCCACCAGCTGCCTCCATCCTTTCTGTGTGTTGGGGAGGGGGTTTGAAACTTCAGTCGGAATAAAAGTGGCACTCCCCTTCCCGGCTCTTTTCTCTGTGCTGGGGGAAGGCGGGGGGGGGGGGGGGGGGGGGGGGGGGGGGGGGGGGGGGGGGGGGGGGGGGGGGAGGAGCTCTCAGCCTGCCTCCAGGTGCAGATGGCCAGCCCCCTCCCATCCTCTGGTCTGAAAGCCCAGCCCTGCCTGGGCCATCTGTTGCCGGGAACCTCCTTCTACCCTTTCCCTCTCACTCGCCCGCCGCCCCCCGCCCCACCCGCACGTGCTGACCACCTGCTCTAAAAGGCTGTGGCAGCTGAGAAGGCTTGCTCCCCCCCACCCCCAACCTCCCAGGCCCCTCGCTCCCTCCCCTCGGCTCCCAGCAACCTCGCCTTTGCTAATGGGCCGTAATGCCCCTGCCAGCTGCTTTGCCAAACCCACAGGATTGAGTGGGAGCGGGGGTGCAGTGGCGGCCAGGACCGCGCCCTGGTCCCAGCCCCGCGCCCCCGCCCCCAAAGCCGAAACGCTCGCGCACCAGGATGCCGGGGTCTGTTCATTCCCCCTCCCCTTCCTTGCAAAAAGTGCCTCGTCACCGCTTCTGCCCGCCCCCGCTGGGCTGGAAGAACCGTGGGGTTAGCTGGAAGATTTGGGTATGTGGGACGGCAAAGAGCTTCCCGAAGCAACTCTTTTACGGCCGTGGAACAGAAGGGGACCAGAGGTCAAGGGTCACGGAGGGGAAGAGAGCCCACGCTTGGATGGGCCTGGGGGGAAGGTCTCAGCGAGGCTCACATGCTGGCTCAGCCAGGGACTGGCCAATGGGCGTGGCGGGGCGGTGGCCGCACCGGAGAAGGCGGGGCCATATCTGCGTATAGGCGTGGCCTGCCGGCCAGGGGGTGGAGCTCGAACCGGCCAGGCGCCGGGCCGGGGCGGGGTTTTTTTTGCATATCCCGCAGGCGGCGAGCCAATGGGCGGGGCTGGGGCGGGGAGCCGAGGCAGGAGGGGCGCTCCCCCGCCCCCGGAACGGAATCCTCGGGGGAGCGGAGCAGGCTCGCGCGCGTGCATCCCGCACCATCCCCCGGTCCCCGGCCCCGGCCCGCGTCAGACCGAGCTGCCGCCGCCGCCGCCGCCGCCACAGCAGCAGCAGCGCTCGGGGATCCGGGCCCAGCCGGGGCCGCGGGAGGCGGGGGCGCCCGGGCCCTGGATGTCCCGCAGCGCGGCGGCCAGCGTGAGAAGGGCGGGAGAGGGGGGACTCGGGTGGGGGGCGGCGTCGCTGCTGATGTGGCGGAGGGTGGGAGGCGGCCGCGGCGCCCGGATGGAGAGAGGGTGCCAAGACAGGGGAGGGTGGGCCTGGGTGGGGGTCCAGGACGGGCCCCCACCGAGCCGAAGCTTGAGAGACAGGGGTCTGGGGCACAGGCCCTCTCTTGCCAAGGCCCTGGAGATAGGGATCTTGGACGCAGACCTGCCCCTCAAAAAAATCAAGGACAGGGGGACGGATTCTAGGTATAACTCCCTGGGCAAGGTTTTGGGGATGGGGTCCAGGACACAACCCCCACATCAAGCCAAGGCCTCCAGGAGGCCATTCCAGACCAGTCGCAATCCCTCCCCCTCCCTCCCTTAGGTGGTCCCTGAGCACAGCAACCCTCTAGGCAAGGTCTTGAGGATGGGGTCCCTGGGAACGGCTTCCCCACCAAGCCGAGGCCTAGGGGGCATTCCAGGCACAGTCTGTACCCAGGCCTCAGAGATATCCTGGGCACAGCATCGCTCCCAATCCTTGGGCGGTGACCCAGGAATAGCCCCTTCTCAAAACAAGGTCCCCGTGCCTGGGACTCCACCCCCCACCCAGCCTGAATAAAATAGGGAAATTTTAGGCAACCCCCAAAGGCTTGGTCAAGGGTCCCCGGGGCTGCCCCAGCTGCCTGGGAGTGGCCCCGCCCGCAGACAATGCGCCACCGCCCCCTCCCGGGTATGGCCCCCCAGGCTTCAGGATTGGGGGGGGCGGCTCCCCAGGGACCCAGCACAGCCCTGTCTGTCTGCAGCGTCTGCGTTGACGGGTGACGGGCGGCTTTGTGTGTGGTACCTGGGGGGAAGGGGGGAGGCAGGCGACGGGGAGGTGGCTAAGAGTGTGACCTAGTGTTTGTGGTACTGTGGTGTGTGTGCACGCGTGTGCTGGAGCTGGGGACTGTGAAGAATCCTGTGTGTCCGTGTGTTGTGCTTGCGGTTGTGTCTGGGAGTGTGTGCGGTTGTGTCTGTATGTGACCCCAGCATTTGTGTGACTGTGTGTGTTTGACAGCTGCTCCTTGTGCAGAGCCCCGTTACTTTTTAGTGTGTGTATGTGTGTGTGTGTGCGTGGTTGTGACTATGTGGCTGTGTCTGTGATCACATCTTTTGTGACCCAGGGTGTGTGCTTTGGTAGCTATAACTGCGTTGTGACAGTGTGTGTGCTGGGCGTGGGGTTGGGCGAGTTGTGTGTGGCTGGTGAGCAGTGGGTGGAGTTGGGACCGTGTACGTGGTGGAGTTGTGTCTATGACTCTGTGTCCATGTGCCACTCTCCCAGTGACTTGTGAACGTCTGTGGTTGTATCCATGGCTGATTGTGTATGTGGGTCATCCATACGTCTGTGTGACACACAACTCTCCCTGCAACTCTGGGTGTGTGTCTGCCATTATACACGAAGTCGCATTGTGTGTGGTTGGGTCATGGCACTGTGACTTGCATGACGGCAGTTGTGTGCCCATGGTCACATCTATGTATGTGACAACGGTGGTAGAAATGACTCCATCAGGCTCTGTGTGTTGATACTAAGTGACTATGCGCATTTATAGGTGTGTGTGTGTGTGTGTGAGAGAGAGAGATATTTGGGTTAAATATTGGAGTTGGGGTCTGAACCCTGACTATTAATAGAGGGTTATTTCATCGTGTGTGACTCAAGCTCTTGGTGTATCGTGTGTGGTGGCACCAGGTAACTGTGTTCATGGCTGGGGGGGTGATGTGTGTGATGGTGGCTTCCGTATTCGTGTGTGACCTCCGTGTCTGTGAATATCTGTACTTGTGTCTGTGTCATGCCCTGGGAGAGTGTGTGTGTCAATCGCTGTGAGGCTGTCTGGTGTGTGTGTGTGTGTGTGTCCCCATGCACACGCTGGACTGGCTGTGTTTCAGTCTGCGTGATGTGGTGACTGGGTGACTGTCCTGGCTGTGGACATGGCTCTCTCGGGGACTGTGTCTTCTGGGTCAACTCAGCTGTAAATGCGATGTCTGGGTCACTGCATTTCTGAGTTCTGTTTCTTCATCACCATGTGCTTATGGCGTGCGAAGTAGAAATTGTGTGCTGGTGTCTCTAGGTGTGAGATACTGTGTGTCTCTCCCCATGGGTCTGTGATTGTATGTGGCCCCTTGCTTATCCCTGTGACTCGTGGGTTTGCCTGGAGAGACTGTGTGTTTCTCTGTGAGGGGGGGACATGTAGGGCTAGGTACGGGACGCTGGGTGACTGTTCCAAGACCACGGTACGTGGCTGGGTAACGTGGACACTGATGATATGTGACTGCCCACATGGCCATTTCTGACATGTGCATGGCTGTGACTCTGAACCAGTAACTGTCCGGCTGTCCCTGAGTGTGGCCATCCTTAGGGACAGTTGTCTCTGGGTGGTTACATATGTGTCTTGAGCGTGTGTGCCTGTTTCTCTAGAACGCAGAGGCCATGGCCGTCGGTGTCTCTGTGTGTGATTGGGTGTGCAAGACTATCCGTGTAAGTGTGGCTCATACTGTGACCGCATGTGTGCCCCTGTGACACGGTGTGTGTGACTGTGACAGCATGTGACCAAAACATTGTGTTGGTGTGGCTGATTCCATTGGAGCTGGGTACTCGTGTGCAGCCGTGTCCCCATAGATGATTAAACACACGTGGCTGTGACTGGGTGTGTCTGTGTGTGGCCATATGTGTGTCGATGTGTCTGCGTGTATCCGTGACCAGAGGTCAGCGTGCATCGTTGGAGCCATGTGTGACAGCAGTTGTGCCTACGCGTGACTTGGTGCTAATGGGTGACCTTGGACTGGTGCAATTCTGTGTGCGTGGGTCTGCGACGTGAATGCCTTGGGCAGGGGCCTGAGGAGACTTAACTGTCGTGGGGAGTGTGCCCCTCTGGGGGAGAGGGGTGCTTGGGCGCAGCTCTTTGCACGTGTCTGAGAAAACGGAAGGGACCACATATTCGGTGGCTGATGGGACCAGATGTTTGTGGCGGTGCCTGGGCAGTCTGGGACTTGAAATGCGTGTGGCCCAATATCTGTCCGTGAACGTAGATCTCTGACCAGCTGGGTATAGTGGCTGCGATCGGTGATGTGCATCTGTGTGAGGCAGCGTGCGTGTCTGTGTGTCACCGTGTGTGGAGAGCCCTGACCAGGATATACCCTGAGGCCAGGATATCCCCTACACGTGCCCCTGGAAACACACCTCCTCATTCCTAGGCCCTTGCTACCAGGTGGCTGATCTCCCAAGTAACGGTTGCTATGACAACCAGGGCTCTCACCAGGGAGCCTGAGATAGAGGGGGGGTTGGCTGTAGTCCAAAGAGGGGGTGAGGTAGGGGACCGAGCCCCAACCCAAGCCAGTTTCTCACCTTCTCCTCCCTTCCTTGGGCAGGGCGGACCCAGGAGGCCTGAGCAGTATTTGCCCCCAGCCCCGTGTGGGGCCCCGGGGCCCCCCGGAACCTCCAGGACGGAGCCAGGTGAGTGACCAGCTGGGGCCAGGGCAAGACCCAGACCCTCACACAGACAGCCTTTCTGGACACGCACCTTCACCGACAACCACTCTCAGCCCGGTGTCCTTCTGTACTTACAGCCTTCAGAAATACACACTCACACAGTCATTGCACGCTTAGGTCTAGACAGCGTTCAGGAACATTACCAGTTACGCGCGCACGCACACACACAGTCCCCATCTGCTGGTGGTGCTGCATCCTGGTTGTCCCCTCGTGCTCCTCCTGGGACAGTCCGTATGGCTTATCGGTCCGTGAAGACTGTCCCCACCTCCGTTGTGGCCGCCTCCACTAGCGTCCCTTCCCCTGATGGTCACAGGTACACCCTGCTCCAGGGCTTCCTGCCTTAGACTAGACAGTTGTCAGAGAAGCGTATCTCAGAGGCACAGAGATGAGCCCGCAGCCTCCACACCCCCTGGCTTGGGTTCTGGACCTCAGTCCCTGGACCTTCTGAGTCCTCCCCCACATCGAACCATCGAACCCAGGCCTCCCCGCCCCCATATCGGACTCCTGCAATGCCCAGTTCTTTTTTTTTTTAATTTTTTAATGATTTATTTATTTCTGAGACAGAGAGAGAGAGGCAGCGTGAGCAGGGGAGGGTCAGAGAGAGAGGGAGACACAGAATCTAAAACAGGCTCCAGGCTCTGAGGTAGCTGTCAGCACAGAGCCTGATGCGGGGCTCGAACCCACGAACCGTGAGATCATGATCTGAGCCAAAGTCAGAGGCTCAACCGACTGAGCCACCCAGGTGCCCCTGCAATGCCCAGTTCTTGAGCCCTCTAATCATCTCAGCCCCTGACCACCTACCCCTCAAGCTCCTGGCCTTGGGCCCTATGCCTTCTAACCCCCATGCCCTCCAAGGTCTTGACTCCCCATGAGTTTGAAGCCACCTACTTCTTGACAGCCACGTCCCCAATCTCCAGACGGCCCAAAGCTGTGACTCCTGACCGCCGTCCCAGACCTCCATGCACCTTTGCCCCATATTTTTCTTCCGAATCCCCACCGCTGACTCTGGCACCCCCCTGCCTCCCCTTGCGCCCTTTCCCGGGGGCCCCTCACCGCTGCCGATGCACGTTCCCTGAATGCCGTGTCCTCTGACCCAGGGACCCCCTATAACCCTGTAACCCAAATCCCATGCTGTCTGACCCTCCCCGCCCTTGACCCGCACCCCTGTCCTGTGTCAGCAGAAGGGGCGGGCACCATGAACAAGTTACGGCAGAGCCTGCGGCGGCGGAAACCAGCCTACGTGCCTGAGGCGTCACGCCCCCACCAGTGGCAGGCAGATGAGGACGCGGTGCGCAAGGGGACTTGCAGCTTCCCAGTCAGGGTGAGTGGGCGGGGTGTGTGCAGGGGCCGTGTGCACGAGGTCCCTGGCCAGGGCCAGAGGCTGAGGCCCTGGGTCGTGTGCAAGAGACGACGCCTCCCCAAAGAACCCCACAGCCTGGGCCCTTCAAAGTTGGGATTAAAATCCAACACATGTTCTCTTGTACCAGGAAGGTATTATTACCCCAGGGGCCAGGGGACGTCCTTCCTCGAGTCACCCCATCCTCTGCGAGCTCACAATTACTTCCAAAAGGAAAGGTCACAAAAGCCTGTAGTAGTTGCACAGTCCTTTACTGTGAAGTGTTTTCTTGTTTAGACCATCACGACTCTTTACAACGCACGTTGTGCTTCTGGGAGGGAGACACCAGGATTCAGGCTCAAATCCCAACTCAGTCCCTTGCCTGGCTGGGCGAAGGGAGCCGATGGTCATAACCCCTCCATTTTCTTTTCCCTTCCCCCAGAAGTAGGTGTGGAGTGTGTGGGGGGGTCCATCTGGAAGCGCAGGGAATGCTGGGAAGGGAAGGGAGCCAATAAAGGGTGTGTCACTAACCTGCAGCTGTGGGCAGCGTGTCATTGAGCTTGCTGTCCTCGGGAAAAGGCTGGCAAATAGAGCCATCCCACCCAGGAGGAGCGGGGGCTGGGATGAGGTTACCCCTGTGGGTCAGCACTGGCCTGAGGCCCAGAGAGATGCGGACACTGGCCCCCAGAAGGAAGGGGGTAACGTGTTAGTGCCCGGGAATCGAGTCAGCACTACACCCACTGGCCTTGGTGTCCTTATCGGTATATCTGGGATGGGAATAGAGTACCCACCTCACAGAGTGGAGGCTCGGAGTGAGTTAATGTGTGTGACGGGCCAGGAGACATTGGGTGACACGTCGCGGCTGCTTGGGAAACACTAGGCGGTAGTGATGACTGTGCTACTCTCCTGTCCTCCCTCCGCCAAGTACCTGGGCCACGTGGAGGTGGAGGAGTCCCGGGGGATGCACGTGTGTGAAGACGCCGTGAAGAAGCTGAAGGCGGTGAGCGAGGGCTGGGCCGCGAGGGGGCAGGGCCGCACTGGAAGAGGCAGCCCTGACCCGGCCCTTTCTCCTCCTCCCCAACCCCAGATGGGCCGGAAGTCCGTGAAGTCTGTGCTTTGGGTGTCAGCCGATGGGCTCCGAGTGGTGGATGACAAGACCAAGGTAGGCGGCCCGCGGGGGTGGGGGTGGGACCCCAGTGGGCCCCTCTCCTCACCCTGCTTGAATCGGGGCTTAGGACACCTTCCCACCCACTCCCACCACGTCCCTCCCTCCCGGACCTTCTAGACCATGTGCTCCTGCAACGGCTTGGCACCCCTCATGGTCATAATTCAGGACTGAGTCTGCAGGAATCTGTGAGCTGGCCCAGTTAGGGGGTGCGGGGCGGCCCCCTTTGAGCGAATCCCTGCTCACCCACGTATCTGCGGGGTGACCCAGAGTGTGAGGTTCAAGCCCTCTGTCCCTCAGTTCCTTCATCTGTAAAATGTGGACAAACACGGCCCCTACCCTTACGCGAGACGATATATGCGGGCTGTGTGAGACTGTGCCTGGGGCAGCATACGTGCTCAGATCGGTGGATGTTAGCTGTTCCGTGTTTATCGTCCGTGTACCCGGCCAGATGGGAGCATCCTGGGGCCCAGACCTGAGCCTCTGTTTGCTCACCATTGACTTCCCTGCCCAGAGATCGCCAGCTCATGCTCCCGGGAGGCGCGCCACATGGCAAGAGTCAGGTTAACAACTAAACGGGATGGATACTTTTGCACACGCAGTTCTTTCACCCTGAAAGTCTGTTCCCTGCCTTTTTGCCTGGTTAATACTTCCCCTGGGGCGCCTGGGGGGCTAAGTCGTTGGACGTCCTACCTCGGCTCAGCTCACGACCTCACAGTTTGTGGATTCGAGCCCCATGTCGGGCTCTGTGCTGACAGCTCGGAGCCTGGAGCCTGCTTCGGAGTCTGTCTCCCTCTCTGCCCCTCCCCCGCTAGTGCTCTGTCTCTCTGTCTCTCTCTCTCAAAAATAAATAAAACATAACAAAAATACCTCCTCCTGGAAGCTTTGCCTGGTTCCTTGCCAAGCTGTATCAGGCACGCCCTCCTGACTGCCACGGGTCCCCGCGCCCCCCCCACCACGGTCCTGGCCCCTGCCTGTCCCTCTCTCTGGTGATGGGCCCTTTTCCCCCACTAAGCCCAGAGCCCTGTGCATGTGAGCAGGGCCCACTGCTGTTTCAGTGGGTCCCCAGCCCGTGCAGGACGGGGACAGGGGGCAGAGGTGGGGGGAGTGCCGAATGAGTACGTGAAAGGTAGTTCAAGTCCCTCTCCTGGTTTCTCCGGCCACCTTCCAGGACCTGCTGGTAGACCAGACCATCGAAAAGGTCTCCTTTTGTGCCCCCGACCGCAACCTGGACAAGGCTTTCTCCTACATCTGCCGCGACGGGACCACCCGCCGATGGATCTGCCACTGTTTCCTGGCGCTCAAGGACTCCGTGAGTATCACCAAAGTCGGGGTGGTGGCGGGGGGGGGGGCGGTGGGGAGCCAGGCTGACCCTTGTCCCCTGTGGAGTCCGACCAGTCACCCTCCTTCCCTCTCCTTTTCCCTCCTCCCCTCCCCTCCCCTGTGTCCTCACAGCTCTAACAGAGGATTATGGGGAGGCTCGCGTGGGTTAATACCAAGTATTGGAATGACGGCCGGCACATCAGCAGCGCTCAGGGAAACATTAGTGATCATTCTCCTCGCTATCGGGAGTTCTTCGTATTTTTCTCATTTTTCTTTTTTACGAGAGTCACATGCATACAGTAACCTGCACAGGTGGCCTCGGCACAGCTCCATCAATTCTTGCTTATGTAAACCGCGCCCCCCCCCCCAGGTCAAGTTGTAGAGCGTTTCCGCCCCCAGCGGGCCCATCTCAACAATACCTTCCAGGCACTCCCGCTTCTTCAAACCTTGCTTCATCGTGCTTGTGGTTCTTTACATTTGAGGGGGTTCTCAAAGGTCCCCTCTGAGAATCTGATGAAAGCCCCTAATGGACCGTCTTCAGCAGTACAGTCTCACAGTTAGGATTCTGAGGCTGTGACAGAAAACCGCAGCTGCCAGTCATTTCCGTGAGAGAGAAGTTTGTTCCCGTGTCCTGTGGAAGAGGCAGGCAGTGCAGGATCACTGTGGCTTCCCTCTGCTCATCAAGGGCCGCGGCTCCTTTATCTTGTCGCTGCACTGGAGTGTGGCCTCTCCTCCCGTGATCCAAAATGGGTGCCCATGCTCCAGCCTTCACATCTTCATTCCAGCTACATGAAGGAAGGAGGCAGGCAGAGGGGCATGCCCTCTCCTCTTGGGGAGCCACGGAACAATTACATCCCGTTGGCCAGAATTCGGCCACGTGGATATCCGTTGGCTGCAAAAAAAAAAAAAAAAGGTGGAAAGTACAGTCTTTAGTCTGTCCTTGACCCTGACCTCAGACCCCACCCAACTTGGTAGGAAGGCAGTCTCTCAGCTCCCTACATTAGCCAGTGTTTTTCAGTGGCCGGCAACAGAAACTGATACGGGTATCAGAAAATCCAGGATGGTGTGGTAGGAGGCATCCCACAAAAGCGAAGAGCAATCAAAGTGTTAAGCATCAGAAAGGTGAGGGGGCTGGGCAGCCTGGGGACGAAACACCAGAGGACAAAACACCAGTCTTTCGCTGCGCTGTTGCAGAAATGAATCCCGTCTCCCAGTGTCCTGGGTTAAAATTCCAACAAGAGGACATGGAATTGGCCTGGTGGGGGTCACTGCCCTCCCCTTGGTCGGGGGAGGCTGGGGCACACAGTTAGATGTACCCGGCGTTAAAGAGGAGCTCCCCAAAGGGAATCCCGGGGTGCTGTTATCAAAAGCAAGAGGAATGGATGCTGGGCGAGTAAAACCACATGCGTCCCTCTCAGATTCTAACAGTATCCCCCGCAAGGATTCCTTCGTATTTCAGAAATCTCCACCCCAGGAGTTCTGAACCCCACAAACTTGTCAGTACCTCCAATTTCTTCTCTTGTACACACAATTCCAGACCTCGGAACTGGGGGAGAAAGACAAATTTGAGCATGTTAGGATTGATGCGTCGGTACTGATTATGGCCAGCTGGTTGGGGGTGGCTAGCGTGAAGATACTAGAAGCCTAGAGCCCATAGCGACTGCTGTTTCCTGAGCGTAGCATACCAGTTGTAGCAGTTATCTGCGGCTGCATAACAAATTGCCCCAGCGTGTAGCGGCAGTCATTTATTATCTCGGGGGATGGGGGGGACGTGTAGGTCAGGAACTTGGACAAGGCTCAGCTGGGTGGGGCCAGGAGCCTGGCCGGACACCTCTCACTCTTCAGGTAGTCTCAGGACCTCTCCAGAAGGCGTCTCCAAGCACAGACGCTTTTGGGAGAGCTGACTTCTTACATGGTAGCTCAGGGCTCCCAAGTGAGTCGAAGGAGATAGAGAGCGAGGCCGAGCTCGCGCCAGGAGGAAGCGGTGTGGCCTGCGTGGACTTGGTCCTGGCAGTCACGCAGCATTGCTCCTGTGACACTCTGTCCAGGCAGTCACAGAGGTCTTCCCAGGCGAAGGGAGGAGAACACAGACTCTGCCGCCGATAGAGAGTGACATAATTCTGGAAGAGCGCATAGTTGCCAGAAACTTGTTGTGGCTATTTTTGGAAAACATGCCACATGGTTAGGGTGGATTCAGTGTCGCACCACCTAGCCGTGGGACGTTAGGCACAAGTGGCTTTCCTCTCTGGGAATCAGTTTCCTCCTCCGTAAAATGGAGATAATAGCAGTGGCCGCGGACAGGTGTGTCAGGGAAGCCCATATTATGGGCACACACAGAAAGTGCTAAATGGGGTCCCAAAACAAATGTTCAGTAACTAGAAACAGTCGCTATCATTTGACAAGTACTTGGGACGCCAGGGGTGGCTCAGTCAGTTAGGTGCCCCACTCTTGGTTTCAGCTCAGGTCATGATCTCACGGTTCGTGAGTTCGAGACTCACGTCAGGCTCCGTGCTGACGACGCAGTGCCTGCTTGGGATTCTCTCTCTTCTCTCTCTCTGCCCCTCCTCTGCTTGTGCACTCTATCTCAGAATAAATAAATAAGCTTTAAAAAAAGAAAAAGACAAGTACTTGAGGATGAGAATCCAAGCAAGAAAGGAGCACACATAAAATTCATTATTTTAGGGGCGCCTGGGTGGCTCAGTCAGTTAAGCACTTGACTTCGGCTCAGGTCAGGATCTCATAGCTTGTGGGTTCGAGCCCTGTGCTGACAGCTCAGAGCCCGGAGCCTGCTTCGGATTCTGTGTCTCCCTCTCTCTCTGCCCCTCCCCCACTTGGGCTCTGTCTCTGTCTCTCAAAAATAAATAAATGTAAATTTTTTAAATGTTTATTTCTGAGAAGGAGAGAAAGAGTGAGAGAGAAAGCAGGAGGGGCAGAGAGAAAAGGAGAAAGGGAACCCGAGGCAGGCTCCACGCCATCAGCACAGAGCCCAATGTGGGGCTCGAACTCAGTGATCCATGAAATCACGACCTGAGCTCAAATCAAGAGTCAGACGCCTAGCCAATTGAGCCACCCAGGTGCCCCTCATCGCTCCTTTTTATTTTTTTAATGATTATTTATTTATTTATTTTGAGAGCGAGAACAAGCCGGAGACCGGCAGAGAGAGGGCGGGGAGTGTGAGAGAATCCCAAGTAGGTTCTGAACCGTCAGCATACAGCCCAGTGTGGGGCTCGAACCCACAAACCATGAGCTCATGACCAGAGCCCCCCAGGCGCCCTTCTCAGAACTCCTAAAAGGGACCTTACGCTCATTAAGTAGTCACTCCCTGTTCCCCACACCCACCTCCCCGAGCCTGGCAACGGCTAGTCTGCTTTCGGTCCTTATGGAGCTATCTCTTCTAGATAGTTCTTGCAGAGTGAATCATACAGTCTGTGGTCTTTTGTGTCTGGCTTCTTGCACTTAGCAGAATGTTTTCAAGGTTCATCTGTATTGTAGCATGTATCAGTCTTCCTTCATTTTTATGGCCGAATAATATCCCATTGCATGGCTCTATTACATTTTGTTTCTGTCTTCATCCATCGATGGACCTTTAGGTTGTCTCTACCTTGTAGGTATTGTGAATAATGCTTCTGTGGCCATTGGTGTGCAAGTATTTGTTTGAGTCGCTGTTTTTAATTATTTGGGGTCTATACCTAGAAGCTGGATTGCCAGATCATATAGTGAAGCTGTGTTTAACTTTTTGAGGAGTTGCCAAATTGTTTTCCACGGTGGCCGCACCATTTTACATTCCCACTAACATTCCCTGCTGACTAATGATATTGAGACTCTTCCTTATGTGTTTATTGGCCCTTTGTTTATCTTTTTGGAGAAATGTCTATTCAAATCCTTTACCCATTTTTTACCTGTTTGTCTTTTTATTGTTGAGTTGTAAGAAATTCATATATTCTGGATAGTAGATTCTTATCAGTTCTATGATTTGCAAAAATTTCCCTCCGTTCTGGGGGTTGTCTTTTTACTTTTTTGGCAGTGTCCTTTCATGTATAAATTGTTTTAAAAAAAAATTTTTTTTGAGAGAGAGAGGATACAAGTGAGCAAGGGGCAGAGAGAGAGAGGGAGAGGGAGAGAGAGAGAGAATCCCAGGAGGAGCAGAGGAAGGCGGGAGAGAGAGAAGCAGGGGTGACCCAAATTGGGGCTTGAACTCCTAAACTGTGAGATCTTGACCTGAGCCGAAGTCAGATGCTTAACTACTGAGCCACCCAGACTCCCTAAATTGTTTTTACTTTTTATGAATTCAATTTATCTATGTTTTCTTTTGTTGTTTGTGTGTTTGGTGTCATAAGAATCCATTGCCAAATCTAAGGTCATGAAGATTTACTCCATGTTTTATTCTAAGAGGGTTTTTTGTTTTGTTTTGTTTTCTAATTTTTTTAATGTTTTATTTATTTTTGAGATAGAGAGAGAGACAGTGTGAGAAGGGGAGGGTCAGAGAGAGAGGAAGACACAGAATCTGAAACAGGCTCCAGGCTCTGAGCCAGCTGTCAGCACAGAGCCTGACGCGGGGCTTGAACTCACAAACCATGTGATCATGACCTGAGCTGAAGTCGGACGCTTAACCGACTAAGCCCTCTAAGAGTTTTATAATTTAATTTTTAATTAAATTTTATTTTAATTAAAAATTTTTAATTTAACCTATTTTGAGTTAATTTTTATAAATAGTATGAGGTGGGGGTCCAACTTTAATTTTTTTCTATGTGAATATCCATTTGTCCCAACACCATTTGTTAACAGGACTATTTTTTCTCCTTTGAATAGTCTTGGTACCCTTACTGAAAATCAGTTGACCGTAAACGTGTGGGTTGATATCTGGGCTCTCAATTCTATTTCATAGATCTATATGGTTATCTTTATGGTGGGATCACATTGTTCTGATTACTTTAAAGTAATACTTTTGGAGTACTATTTTAAATCAGAAAGTGTGAGTTCTTTTATTTTGTTCTTTTTCAAAATCCCTTTGGCTGCCATTCTGGATCCTTTGCAATTCCATATGAATTTTAGGATCAGCTTTGCTATTTCTGCGAGTACAGCTTTTCTTATTTCTGCGAGAGTCTGATGGGATTTTGATGGGGAGTGCATTGAATATATAAACCACTTTCGAATTATTGATATGTTAACAGTATTAAGTTTCCAAATCCATGAACATGGGATGTATTTCCATTTCTTTAATTTTTGCAGTAACGTTTGGTAGTTTTCAGCACACATGTCTTTCACTTCCTTGGTTAAATTTATTCCTGACCATCTTATTGTTTCAGATGCTCTCATAAATGGGATTGTTCTAGATTCATTCTTGGGTCGTTCACTGTCAGCGCATATAGATATAACTGATTTTTTTGTGTTGATCTTATATCCTGGAACTTGGCCAAATTCATTTATTACCATTAATAGTTCCTTTATGAGTTCCTTAGGGTTTTCTACATATAAAATATGTCATGTGCAAATAGAGATGGTGTTGCTTCTCCCTTTCCAATTTGGATGCCTTTATTTCTTTTTCTTGTCTAATTACTCTGGCTAGACCTTCTGACACAGCATTGAATGCAAGTGATGAAAATGGGTACCCTCATCTTACAGAAAAGCTTTCACTCTTTCACCATTGAGTATGATGTTAGCTGTGAGTTTTTCCTAAACATCCTTTATCAGATTGAGGAAGTTCCCTTCTATTCCAAGTTTGTTGAACTTTTTTTTTTTTTATCATGAAAGGATGCTGGATTTTGTCAAATGCTTTTTCCCCATTAATGGAGATGATCGTGTGGCTTTATCCCCCTCTTTCTGTTAATGTGATGTATGACATTGACTGATTTTCATTTGTTGAACCAACCTTCCATTCCTGGGATCAATCTCACTTGATCTTGGTGCATAACCTTTTTACTATGCTGATGAGTTCAGCTAGTTAGTATTTTGGAAAGGACTTTTGTTCCCAAGTTCATCTTTCAAAGGTGGCTGATCATATTGGCTAGGAAACAGAAGCTAAGTTGATCTCATGAGAATCCCAGCTCTGCCCATCACTTATAATGGGTGTGTTGACTAGGGCTCAGTGTCTTCATCTGTAAAACAGGCTCATAAGCATGTGCACCTCCTGGCATGACTGTGAGGATTCCAACAAAGGGGGATGGATTTAAAGTGATACCTATGTGGTGTTTCCCTGTGCCAGGCTCTTGTGCTGGCTTCCAGTGCTGTTTGCCTCCTTGCATATATTAGCTCATGTAATTCTTGTTAAGATGTAACCCTGTTAAGTGAGTGCTGTTGGGGCCCACATTTTATAGACGAGGGGGCTTGGACACTGAGAGGTAAAGTGGTTTTCTCGAGAACACACAGTTGGAAAATAGGAAGCCAGCATCAGTGTGGCCTTGGAGGCTCTTAAGTATGTACTCAGGAAACAGGGGCAGTTTTTGTTTTGTTTCGTTTTCTAAGAATTAAATTTTCTTTATTTATTTTGAGGGAGACAGAGAGGGCACAAGCAGGGGAGGAGCTGAGAGAGAGATTGGGAAAAAGAGAATCCCAAGCAGGCTCCACACCGCCAGCACAGAGCCCGACATGGGGCTCGAACTCACGAAACTGTGAGATGATGACATAAGCCGAAACAAAGAGTTGGATGCTTAACTGTCTCATCTGCCCATCTCATTTTGGATGCATTTCAAAGTTGCAGACCTCAGAATACTTCCCTGGACCCTTCAGCATGCATGCCATTAAGTAGAATCATTTGTTTCCAGCTCATTCTTTTTTTTTTTTTTTAATTAAAAAGAAACCTTTAACGTTTATTTATTATTGAGAGACAGAAAGACAGAGCATGAGCATCGGAGGGGCAGAGAGAGGGGAAGACACAGAATCCGAAGCAGGCTCCAGGCTTCAATCTGTCAGCACAGAGCCTGAAGTGGGGCTCTTACTCACCGAGATCATGACCTGAGCCAAAGTCAGATGCTTACCTGACCGAGCCCCCCAGGCGCCCCCCAGCTCATTCTCTTTTGAAGTAAAATTCCCACCCCCACCCACTAAGGAACGGCCGCTCTTCGGCTTTTTTTTCACTGAGGATGAGTTTTGCTGGTTCTTGAACTTCACATCCATGGAGCCCAAGGGCCCTGCTCTCTTGCTTCTGGCTTTTTTTTTTTTTTTTAAACGCTTTTTATTTATTTCTAGGAGAGAGAGAGAGAGAGCGCGCGCGTGAGCAGGGGAGGGTCAGAGAGAGAGGGAGACACAGACTCTGAAACAGGCTCCAGGCTCTGAGCCGGCAGTCAGCACAGAGCCCGACGCGGGGCTCGAACCCACGAACCGCGAGATCATGACCTAAGCGAAAGTCGGGCGCTTAACAGACTAAGCCACCCAGGTGCCCCGCTCCTGGCTTTTTTCACTTAGAGCTGTCATTTGTCTCCGTGCTGAGGCCCGGCGTGGGGGGTGGGAGGCGGGGCTTGTCCGCGATCACCCAGCACCCAGCCCAGCCACGGGGAACCCTGGCGTCCCCCCTGCGCCGTGCGCGTCTCCAAGCTACCCCTATCCCCTCCCACAGGGCGAGAGGCTGAGCCACGCGGTGGGCTGTGCCTTCGCCGCCTGCCTGGAGCGGAAGCAGCGGCGGGAGAAGGAGTGCGGGGTCACGGCCGCCTTCGACGCCAGCCGCACCAGCTTCGCCCGGGAGGGCTCCTTCCGCCTGTCGGGCGGCGGCCGGCCGGCCGAGCGAGAGGCCTCCGAGAAAAAGAAAGGTGGGTGCCGCCCAGATGGCTGGGCACCGAGTGGCCCTGGTGGGGGTGGGGGGGGCGAGCTGCAGAGGTACCGGGACTCTACAGTTTACAAAGCACAGCACCAACCACAGAGTTTGGTTACGGTGTATAAAGCGCACTTGGGTTTAAGGAGTTCTTTGGGCCGCGTCCTGCAGGCCACAGATCCGCAGCAGAGCCGCCCGCGCTGCATTACCTGCTCGCTCGGGGAGACATTTCGACCCGCGGATCCAGGCGGCTAATGGGTTGTGAAGTCCGCCTCGTGGATTGTGGCTCCCGCTGAAAAAAATGAAATAGGGAAGAATAGGGAATATCAGATTAGCTGAAGGTAGTGAGCGTAAGTGTAGTTCGATGATACTTTTATTTCAGTATGTATATTTGCGTGCACGTGTGTGTGTGTGTGTGTGTGTGTGTGTGTGTAACAGGTATTTCTTGCTCTGGGTTCCCATCAAAAGGGTTTGAAAAGTACCTGGTAAACTCGAACACTGGGCGTAAGTGGCAAATACTTTGTAAGTTCTAAAACGGTGTTCTTTTTTTTAAATTAATTTATTTTTGAGAGAGAGAGAGAGAGCACAAGTGTGCCCACCCGCACACGAGTCGGGGGGAGAAGGGACAGACAGGGAGAAAGAGAACCAAGCAGGCTCCACACCCAGCCCAGAACCCAATGGGGGGGCTTGAGCTCATGAAGGTAAGAAGGTAAGATCGTGGCCTGAGTCGAAATCAAGAATCAGGTGCCTATGGGGCGCCTGGGTGGCTTAGTCGGTTGAGCGTCCGACTTTCGCTTAGGTCATGATCTCGCGGTTCGTGGGTTCGAGCCCCGCGTCGGGCTCTGTGCTGACTGCCGGCTCAGAGCCTGGAGCCTGTTTCAGTCTGTGACTCCCTCTCTCTCTGACCCTCCCCTGCTCACGCTGTCTCTCTCTCTCCTAGAAATAAATAAAACATTAAAAAAAAAAAAAAAGAATCCGGTGCCTAACTGAACCTCCAGGTGCCCCTAAAACAGTGTTTTTTGGTTTTTGTTTTAATGTAAGTATACTGTGTTCTGAGTCACAGTGTAATTTTTTTTTAAGTTTATTTATTTTGAGAGAGAGAGCAGTAGGGGAGAGTAGGGAAGGGGCAGAGAGAGAGGGAGAGAGAATCCCGAGCAGGCCTGCTGCTGTCAAGTACAAAGCCTGACGGGGGGCNCAACAAAAAAGAAATCAAAGGCATCCAAATCAGTAGAGAAGTTATAAAACTGTCCCCATCTGCAAAACTTTCACTATATAGAAGATCTGAAAGGCTCCACCAAAAACTGCTAGAACTGATAAACACGTTTAGTAAAGTCTCAAGATACAAAATCAGTGTTCAGAAACCTGTTGCGTTTCTGTACACCAGTAATGAAGCAGCAGAAGAAGCAATTAAGGGATCAATCCCATTTACTATTGCACCAAAAATAATAAGGAACTTAGAAATAAACCTAAACAGGGGCACCTGGGTGACTCAGTCAGTTAAGCAACTGACTCTTGATATTGGTTCAGGTCATGATCTCACAGTTTGTGAGATCGAGCCCCACGTCGGGCTGTGCATTCACAGCACAGAGACTGCTTGGGATTCTCTCTCTTCCCCTCTCTGCCCCTCTCCCTGCCCACCCTCTCTCTCCCTCTCTCTCTCTCTAAAAAAAAAAAAAAAGAAAGAAAAGAAAAGGGGTGCCTGGGTGCCTCAGTCGGTTGGGCGTCCGACTTCGGCTCAGGTCATGATCTCGCAATCTGTGAGTTCGAGCCCCACGTCGGGCTCTGTGCTGACCGCTCAGAGCCTGGAGCCTGCTTCGGATTCTGTATCTCCATCTCTCTCTGCCCCTCGCCTGCTCACTCTCTGTCTCTCTCAAAAATAAACATTAAAAAAAATTTTTTTAATGAAATTAAAAAAAAAAAGTTTACAGAGAACTTACCATGGGGAACTGACCCAGATTAAAGGAGACTAAAGAGATTTGACAATTAGTAATGAACACAAGATACGGTGACCCTGAACTCTGACCTGGATCTTGGATTACCTGTATCTATAAGGGACATGATTTTTTTAAAAAAAAATTTTAACGTTTATTTTTGAAAGACAGAGTGTGAGTGGGGGAAGGGGCAGAGAGAGAGGGAGACAGAGAATCCCAAACAAACCCTGCACTATCAGCTAAGAGCCTGATGTCGGACTCAAACTCACCAACTGTGAGATGATGACCAGAGCCAAAATCAATGTCTGATGCTTGCCTGACTGAGCTACCCAGCCTCCCCTCTTTCTTTTTGGTTTATTTATTTATTTTGAGGGAGGAGTGGCAGAGAGAGAGGAAGAGACAATCCCAAGCAGGCTGGCAGCATGGGACTTGATCCCACAAATGGTGAGATCATGACCTGAGCTGAAATCAAAGATTTGAAGGCTTAACCCAGAGTACGTTTCTTTCTTTCTTTTTTAAATGCTTATTTATTTTTGAGACACCGAGCATGAGCAGGGAAGGGGCAGAGAGAGAGGGAGACACAGATTCCAAAGCAGGCTCCAGGCTCTGAGCTAGCTGTCAGCACAGAGCCTGACGCAGGGGTTCAAACCCACGAACTATGAGATCATCACCTGAGCCAAAGTCGGACGCTTAACCAACTGAGCTATCCAGGCGCCCCAACCTGGAGTATGTTTCTATTTGTAAATAACATGACCATTTACAAACCTCTGAACAAATTTACAAAGTTCTTCACAGTTTACAAAGTATTTTACTCTTTACATCTATTTTTTAAAATTTTTAAAATGTTTGATTTTGAGAGAGAGAGACAGGGACAGAAAGACAGAGCATGAGCAGGGGAGGGACAGAGAGAGAGACACAGAATCCAAAGCAGGCCCCAGCCTCTGAGCTGTCAGCACAGAGTCCGACATGGGGCTCGAACTCACAAACCATGAAATCATGACCTGAGCTGAAGTCAGATGCTTAACCGACTGAGCTGCCCAGGCGCCCCTACAGCATCTATTTGAATTTGTAAAGGACTTTACCATTTGCAAGGCAGATAAAAATGAAGTTAACAGAGGGCCTGAAAGGTATACATTGTCTTACTGTTTACAAATGAACCCACTAGGTACACAGTCCTCCACGGTGTACAGATCTTTCTTTGCTGTTTCTATAGGCTATTGGAATTTACAGAGAATGTCATTCGATTTAGAGTTTCCGAGGGGTTTTGCTGTTTCCAAAGGATGTTGTAATTTGCAGGTACTTGGCATTATAGAAAGCAGTTCACAGCTTGCACAGCGAAATGAGAGGTTACAAAGCATGGTATGATTTGCCAAACGGATCACCCAGCATTTTGCTGTAGATGCGCCAATTTACAGTCTCAAGGCACCGCACTTGCCCTTCGGCAGTGAGCTCTTTCCAACGTAGGAGTTGTGGACCAGTGCACTTTTCACAAAGTTCTCCACCCAGCTTTTGTCAGATTCCAAAGCACAGAACATTCACTGCCTCGATTGGCCCTCTCCAGAGGCCTCTGATGGTTATCCCAGGTTTAGTCGGGGGGGCGGGGGGGGGACTGGGGCCCAGGGAGGGGAGGGCGCTTCCTGAGGTCCCCCAGTAAGGTGGGGACAGAAGTGATTTCCTGGTTCCAACCTGTCCCAAGCTTGTTCAAGCTGCCCCCAGCCAGGCCTGGGTGAGAGCCTCACCACATCCACCTGGAAGATGAGAGGAGCAGTGCTGGGTGACCTCCCTACCCTCTCTGGGCCTGAGCTTCATCTCCTATTTGGGCTGCAGCTCAGGTGAGGCCCCGGTTGGAGGATGGGTGTATATTTGTGTTTTGTCAGGGCTGGGGGGCATCCCTGTCCACCTTGTACTAAGTGGGGAGACCAGGTACCCCCAGAAGACAGAGGGCATTCCTAGAGTGAAGGTATGGAACAATCTGGAAAATTCTCCAGAGGAAGAAGTGTGCCAGGCTGGGTCTAGAAGTGGTAGGAGGGGCGAACTAGTTGAGGTGGGAAGAATAGTGGGAAATAGAAGAGCAGACAAAATGACAAGAAGACAGCATGATGTGGAGAGAGCAGGCAGAGGGAGAGAGAGGTTAGGGTATTTGGAACACAGACCCTGGGGTCAGCCTGCCCCTTGCTAGCACGGTGGCTTGGGCAAAGTCCCTTACCATTGCTGGGCCTCAGACTCCACATCTGTAAAATGGGGATAACGGTCATATTGATCTCATGGGGTGGCTGTGAGGATCGAATGACTTCATACTTGCGAGGCATTTGGAACAATGCCTGGTGCATCCATTATGCACCAAATAAGCATTTGTGAAATTAATCAGAAAGGGAGACAGAAGGTCTCCAAGGGAAAAATAGGAGACGCATTAGAGAGAGCTAGATTGGGGGCAGAAGCTGGAGACACAGAAGGCCGGGCCGGAGGAGGGCCCGTATTGGCTGGGTGGGGATGAGAGACAGGCCTTGAGCAGCCTGTCGCGAGGACAGGACACATTAGGTGAGGAAGGCAGCATTGGAGGACGATCAAGGGGACTGGGTGAGAGAGGAGCAAATGTCCCCAGTGGGGTATCTAACCGCCTGTGTCCCCTGTGTCTCCAGCAGAGGCAGCAGCTGCCCCAACTGCGGCTCCTGGCCCTGCCCAGCCTGGGCACGTGTCCCCGACCCCGGCCACCACATCCCCTGGGGAGAAGGGTGAGGCGGGCACCCCAGTGGCTGCGGGCACCAGTGCGGCCGCCATCCCCCGCCGCCATGCCCCCCTGGAGCAGCTGGTTCGCCAGGGTTCCTTCCGTGGGTTCCCAGCCCTCAGCCAGAAAAACTCACCTTTCAAACGGCAGCTGAGCCTACGGCTGAATGAGCTACCGTCCACACTGCAGCGCCGCACCGACTTCCAGGTGAAAGGCACAGGTGAGCCCCGGGTTCTGTGGGAAGAACATTAGGATCAATGCCTTGCCCCCCTCTGGAGGAGGCAACAGATAGAGAAGAGGTGTAGACACCTTGATCGATTAGCACTGCCTGCCTTGGGAAAGGGTCGATTAGCAGTGTCTGCCGCCAGTGTGAGGGTGGGGAGGGGGTAGTACGAATCATGATTGATTAGCAATGTCTACTAATGGCAAGGACCAGCAGGATGGCAGAAGCCCTGATCGATTAGTAATGCCTGCCGCAGTTAGGGAAACGAGAGGTACATCATAACATGCATACATCATGATTGATTAGCAAGGTCATGGGTTCGAGTACCAACCTCTAGGGAGAGGAAAGCTGCCTAGATGGCCATTTTTTGCTGGCCAGGAGGAGACTGAGACTCCATAGGCTAATGCTCCCTCCAAGCATTTGGCCAATAGAGACAGATCTGACCAGGTAAAGGATACAGGCTCAGAGTGGGGGAGGATTATGATGGGTTCATGGCACCTGCCGTGGGCAAGAAAGAGCGAGGCGCTACGTCATGTGGTTGATTAGTGAAGGTTGCCATGGATAAGGGAGAAGAGAGAGCAGAAGTTATGTTGTGCCCAGGGAGAGGCTCCCAGAATTGGGCCAGTGGAGACATGAGGCGAAGGGCACAGGTGAGCACAGGGACCAGGGGTCATGGAGCACAGTGATGGATTTGTGAGGTCGCAGATGGGCAGAGGCTCAGGCAGAGGCAGCACAGTGCTCTGGAAAGAGGCAGCAAGCATGTCATCATCTATGAGCAGTGCCTGCCCTGGGCAGTGATAGGAGAGGCAGTAGAGCTGTTCTGTTTTTCTTAGAAGGAAAATGGAGTTATAGAGACCGTGCTGTCTCTCAACGTTTAGCCAGTAGAGCCATGAGGTCTGGCCAGGTGAGGGGGATGGGGAGCAAAGAGTTCAGTGGGAAAAAGCATCGTGCTTGATTAGTAATGTCTGCCGTGGGCCAGAAATAGGAGAGAGGTGGTATATATCATGCTCGAAAAGCAAGGTCCACCATGGGAGAGGGGTGAGAGGTGTGGTGCGGTGCCATGTTCTGCCCGAGGGCGGCGGGCAAGAGGGCTGCCTCTTCCCCCAGCTGTCGGGGAAGTCATGTGGTCTGGCCCATTTTCCTCTTCCGTATGCCAGATCGGAGACAGCCACCTCTCGGCCTCGGGACTGGCGTGGGAGGTGTTGATCTGCGTCCAGAAGGCTGGGCTGCTCCCAAAGGTGACTGCTGAGCGGATCCCAGTGCTTGCTGAGAGTGACGCACACGTGCTCCTTGCCCCGCAACACCCCTCGGCCTTCAAACAGCCTGGCATTCACTGTCCCCATGCACCCCGCCATGACGCACTGTCTAGGGCTGTCACATGCACTTCCCGAGAGGTGGCAGGCTCCCGGGGCTTCGGGCGGAAGCTTCCCGCCCCCGTAGCCAGTTGTATGCTTGCCTGGATGTGACCCGCCACCTGGAGTTTACAGATTCACATGCGTCACTCTGCTGTACCCGGAAGTCACACACTTAATCTGACTCAAAAGCCACACCCCCTGGGGCATCACAGAACCAGGTGTTTCCTTTAACACACACTTAGGCACATCTCCAGACACCCCATGCAGACCGGCACACACAAACCACATAGCCGGATTTGCACAGATGTGTGAGGTCACACCTGCAAATCTGTGCACACTCACAAACACACTCGTACGTCCCACATGGCTGCCTGGATTGGCTCACGCTTGGGAATCACAGGACACACGCCTGGATTTTGGTCACACTTAGATGCCAGGCCCTCAGAGCTGCACACCTATCTGCACTAATAACGCAGTCGTCATAGACCTGACCTAGAAACCACCTTCCCTCCCACCTGGGCACCCCCACGTCACACCTGCTAAATCCTACAGCCCATGTCTTTTTTCTTTTTTTAATGTTTATTTATTTTTGAGACAGACAGACAGAGTGCAAACAGGGGAGGGACAGAGAGAGAGGGAGACACAGAATCTGAAAGCAGGCTCCAAGCTCTGAGCTGTCAGCACAGAGCCCGATGCGGGGCTCGAACTCACAGACCGTGAGATCATGACCTGAGCCAAAATCTGAGGCTTAACCAACTTGAGCCCCCCAGGCGCCCCTCTGCAGCCCGTTTTTCTCTGATGCTCAGTGAAGCGTCACATCTGCTCCCTTGGAGACGATCGCTCGCTGAGATGTCACAGGCTCTTGTCACACCGCACTGGCATTTCTCTTGTTGATTTGGATGGCAGTTTTTTTTTCATCCCAAGCCCTCGTGAGGCCACCGCACCTGCTCAGCGTTCCCTGTCTTGCTGGTACCAGTGTGTGTCTGTCCTCATGATGGGTGCAATAGGCCAGGCCAGGTGTGCTGGGCAAGGCCCCCTGCTTCTCCATCCAAAGTAGGACGAATGATCCCCAGCCACTGGTCAACAGTGTGGCCAACATCCAACCCGACTCATCAGTGCTCTTCCAGATAGGTGGATGGACATATTTTTTAATTAATATATGTTGTTGAACATTTAAAATATTTCTCTTGGTTTGTAGCTACACACAGATCTTTTTTTTTTTTATGTTTATTTATTTTTGAGAAAGAGCGAGCATGGGCACGCGCACGAGTCGGGGAGGGGCAGAGAGAGAGAGGGGGACAGAGGATCCAAAACCGGCTCGGAGCTGTCAGCACAGAGCCCGTTGCGGGGCTCAGACTCACGAACCACGAGATCACGACCTGAGACGAAGTCGGACGCTCAAACGACTGAGCCACCCAGGTGCCCCACCACACACAGATCATATGGTCCTCCCTGGTTTGGGACCTCAGCCATCAAGATGTCGCATACCACGTGGCTGTTGTACCACTCAGATGTTACACTCACATAACCACGGAGTTGGCATTTTCATGGCCACGGCCATTTGGTTACTGCAGAGTAGACCCACCACGTACACACCTTGTGAGGGAAAGGACCCCAGGTGGTAAGAGAGGGCAACCTGAGGGCACGGGGTCCAGGGTAGGGCCTGGGCCTCTTCTCTGACCTCCACCCTTCCCTGACTTCCCAGTGCCTGAGATGGAGCCCCCTGGTGCCAGTGACAGTGACGGCATCAATGCCCTGTGCACTCAGATCAGCTCATCTTTCGCCAGTAGTGGAGCACCAGCGCCTGGGCCACCACCGGCCTCAGCAGGTAAGATCTGCGCCCTACAGCGCCCCCCTGCGGTCTCCTGTTCCATTCAGGGGTGCCACAAACCCTCCAGGAACCTTGGGGTCCCACGGGCTTAGAGACATGGCTCACCTAAGGGCCATGGGCCCATCCTAGCACCATAGAGTCAGGTTAGAGCCTTGGATCAACTTAGAACCACAGGGTCATCTCACAGCCATGGGCTCTAGAACCACAAGATAACCTTAGAATCATGGGGGCAACTTCAAACCGATTTTAAACCATCCCATCCCAGAACCATAAAATTGAGACACCTGCAGCCTCAGGATCACAGGGCATTAGAGACTCCAGTTTGGGAGCCGTGACACCAGGGAGTCACCTTAAAGCCGTGAGCTTGTTCTAGAACCCTGCACGCACTTGGAACTGCACTAAATTTAGACCTCTAGGCTCTTAGGAGACACAAATGTAAAGCCATCGAACCTCACCCACCAGGTTAGACCCCTACACTCTGGGAACGGTCCATGCAGTCTTCAAATCTTAGCTTCCTCGAATAGTACAGTGTCGAAATACCAGGACGAAGGGGGGTTTTAAGAATCTGCAATAATGGGCTCGGCACTGACCCATCAGAAGGGAAGCCGGGCTGATACATGTCCATGATGCCTGGGCTTTTCCATCTTAGGGCCTTAGAATCTCAGAAGTGTACTTTGTTGGCACTTGAGAGCCGTGCCGTGGGCCAGGGTGGTGAAGCCACGTGCCCCAAAGCCAACACAGCTGGTGAGGGGCAGAGCGCGACTCGGTGGCTGCAGACTTTGGTCCCCCGGCCCTGGGATCTCTCAGTTGCCGCCCGTGCCCCTCAACTGCCCCTCTCCTCCCTCTAGGGACTTCTGCCTGGGGTGAGTCCTCCGTGCCCTCTGCAGCTGCCTTCCAGCCCGGGCACAAGCGGACCCCTTCGGAGGCGGAGCGGTGGCTGGAGGAGGTGTCCCAGGTGGCCAAAGCGCAGCAGCAGCAGCAGCAGCAGCAGCAGCAGCAGCAAGTGGCCTCAGTGCCCCCGGGGGCCCCCGCCCTGCAGCCCTTTACCGCCCCCGTGGGGCCCTTCGATGCCACGCCTGCCCAGGTGGCCGTGTTCCTGCCGCCCCCACACATGCAGCCCCCTTTTGTGCCCGCCTACCCGGGCCTGGGCTACCCGCCCATGCCCCAGGTGCCCGTGGTGGGCATCACCCCCTCACAGATGGTGGCCAATGCCTTCTGCTCAGCCGCCCAGCTCCAGCCCCAGCCAGCCACCTTGCTCGGGAAAGCCGGGGCCTTCCCGCCCCCCACCATGCCCACTGCCCCAGGGGGCCAGGTCCGCCCACGCCCCAGTGGGGCACCCTGGCCCCCGGAACCGGCGCCTGCCCCGGCCCCCGAACTGGACCCCTTTGAGGCCCAGTGGGCAGCATTAGAAGGCAAACCGGCTGGAGAGAAGCCTTCCAACCCCTTCTCGGGCGACCTGCAGAAGACCTTCGAGATCGAACTGTAGCCCGAGCCGCCCTGCCCACCCCAGCATCTCCAGGTGCCCACGCCTGGGAATGGAGGCCCAACCTCTCCCTGGCCCTGGCCCCTGGGGCTGCGCCCCCCCCCAACACCCTCTCTAACCCCTTCCTGTGACCACCCCCCACAACCACTACAGAACCGACATTGTAACGCCCAGGTTGCGACAGGATGGAATTCAGGGACGGACCCAGCCTGGCTAAGGGACCCATTTCACTGCCAGACTTAGGCCGGCGGTGCCCTTCCCTCACCCCCCCTCCAACCCCAGACACGGTGGGATAGCCACAGTCCCACTGAGTGCCCTCGGTTCAATCTACATTTCCCAGTTTCTGTTGTTGACTTTCCACCTTGCAGTGTTGGGTGGGATGGAAAAGGGAGGCCCGCTTAGGGGCTCTTCTGGGCCCCCCACGAGTGCCCACCCCAAGTCCGGCCGTCCCCTCCCAGACACAGCACAAGCAAAGGGCTTCCCTCTGCCCACCTGCTGCGTTCACTGCCAATGCTGTGCTCACCCCTATCACCCCTCTCCCCCACTCGGGGGCCCACATCTTCCTTGGGCCAAGGTCTCATGGGGGCAGGGGCCAAGCTGGGGGCCCGGGAGGCGGGGTTGGGGGAAGAGGAAAGAGATGCTCAGTTACCTCACGTCAGTGCCCGCTGGGGAGGGGTCCGGGAAGAAGGGGTGCCTGGCGGGTACTTTTCTATCTTTTATTTCCAGATTTTTTTGTATCTAAACTCACAGATTTGTATTATACAAGGACAGCCAATAAAGGAAGAATATAATGGTGCCCCTCGGACAGCAGGGTGTGTGCCGGGGGGGTTGGGGGGGAGGGTGACAGAGCCTTCCCTTCTGAGTCTTCTACTAAAGCAAGACAAGAAAAAAAGGGGGGGGGTCTCCCACACAATATCCTCAGAGCCATAACATGGTAGCAGGGAATACCGGCCCAGCATGTGGGAGGTATTAAAGGGGACCCAAAACCAATCACCCCAATTTCTAACGCTTACAGATTTTGAGCCAAGGAATTTAAAACATTGCATTTGGCTGGTAATAAGTTTCAGTATTGAAATTTTCAATAACCAGGTTCAGAATCCTTTATCTTTAAGCTGGAAAATTCTTGTTTGGTCGATTGCATTTTCTGTAACTCAGGCCAAAATGTCATCTGACGTGGCAGCATGTTGTTTTTAGGTCCCTGTTGTTTCTGGGGTCCCTTGATACACTCTACAAGTTACATACTTTAAAATATGCAACGTATACATTATATGTTTAATTCTTTAAAAAAATTTTTTTTAATGTTTGTTTTTATTTCTGAGAGAGAGAGAGAGACAGCACGAGCAGGGGAGGGTCAGAGAGAGAGGGAGATATAGAATCTGAAACAGGCTCCAGGCTCTGAGCTGTCAGCACAGAGTCCGATGTGGGGCTTGAACCCACTAACCGTGAGATCATGACCCAAGCTGAAGTCAGACGCTCAACCAACTGAGCCACCCGGGTACCCCTATGTTTAATTCTTTATAGCTCTTGAAAATGAGGTGATTGATTTTGTGAACCCCAATATTATATCCCCAGTTGATGGATTGGGAAGTTTGGTCACTTCAGCCCTTGGCATCTGATTTGGGGGGTGGTGCTGGGATTCCAACGTAGCTCCTGGTCAACCTCAGGGCCAATCATTAAACCACCAGGCTGCAAGGGAATAAACTTAGGGTCTGCCCTCTAGGGTCTACAGCCCATCGACCAGACATGGACCCTGGGCTAGAGGACCTGTGCCAGACGGCTCTGCCAGGGCACCCAGGGGTGCCTAGGGAGGGAGCCCAGGACTCTGCCAGAAATGAGCCACACTTTCTCATCTCCAAGCTTAGCAGATGCCATTCCATCCGCCTACAGCACCTTTCCTGACACAGCACCTTTGCCCCAGTGCCACTCATTCTTCAGGCCTCAGTTCAAATGTCACCACTTCAGGGCGCTTGCGTGGCTCAGTCGATTGAGCATCCGACTTCAGCTCAGGTCATGATCTCACGGTTTGTGGGTTCGAGCTCCGCCTCAGGCTCTGTGCTGACAGCTAACTCAGAGCCTGGAGCCTGTTTCAGATTCTGTGTCTCCCTCTCTCTGCCCCTCCCCTGCTCACGCTCTCTCTCTCCCTCTCTCTCAGAAATAAATAAAACATTTAAAAAAATTAATTTAGGGGCGCCTGGGTGGCTTAGTCGGTTAAGCGTCCGACTTTCACTTAGGTCATCATCTCACGGTTCATGGGTTCGAGCCCCGTGTCGGTCTCTGTGCTGACTGCCAGCTCAGAGCCTGGAGCCTGGTTCAGATTCTGTGTCTCCCTCTCTCTCTGACCCTCCCCTGCTCACGCTGTCTCTCTCTCTCTCTCTCCTAGAAATAAATAAAAATATTTTAAAAAATTAATTTAAAGAAAAAGCAAATATCACCTCTTCTTAGAAAGAGAGCTGCTTCCGTTGCCCCGCCCCCTCCCATCTAATGCGTTCTAAGTTTGACCCTTCAGGATGAATCAGGAGCACCCCTCCCCACTTGGGCCCCGGTACTTCCCCCTCCTGGCCCTAATTCAGTCCCAGCCCTGACTCAGTCTGGGCTGTAGCTATCTGGCCCCCACTGTGGACTGTGAGGGAGGGGTGAATGTCTCAAGCACAGAAGAGGCAAGCTCAGCAATTCAACCCTGCACACCGCTGCGCTGGTGAGGGAGAGACGCAGAAAGGGCCTAGGACTTGGACAGAGACCGTTCAAACTTCTGGACTCATGGGGAAACTGAGGCCACGCTGTGCACAGAAAATCAGGGACAGAGGCAAAACGGTCTTCCCCGTCACCGGCTGCTATCTTTTCCCCAAATCGTTCTTTCCTGTGCCCAGAGCCATCTTTCTCAGCCGCCCCTGCCCCAATGGTCCCTGTAGATGCAGAAGTTCTGGTCTCCGGGGGGTCCCTAGACCCATTCTCTCCCAAGGACCTCCCACAGGCTCCTCTTAGCCAATTTTCCCATCTTCCCACATGTGATGGAGACTGGCTCTTCATGGTGCCTGCCTCTCCACAGAGACCATAGATCTGGGGTTAACCTCCCACCCTCCGCTTCCCACAGGCTTGGGCTCTCAGAAACCTGGAGACGCACAATTAACGCCCCCGCCCTATCTGCTAACCTCTGGTCCCACCTAACGCCACGTGCTGCATCCCTACTCATGCCCCATCCCACTGCCATCGAGGTCATTTTTCTGGGGTCATCCAGCTCAGGCTTTTCAGCACCCCCTTTCCAGTTCTGTCTGGAGAGCCCGATCACCCCGACGTTGGCTCCCTGCGCCCTGCCCCTGGGGAAATAGACCACGTGTCCCACTCCGAGGACTCTCAGGAGGGCTCCGCCCCCTGTTGGAGCCCCGCCCCTTCGAGGTACCTCCTCTCCAGGCGCTAGGGGTGCAGCGAGGGCTATTTTATTTTTTTAATTTTTTAAAAAATTTATTTTCTTTCCGGGGCGCCTGGGTGGCTCAGTTGGTTAAGCGTCCGACTTCATCTCAGGTCATGATCTCTCAGTTCGTGTGTTCGAGCCCAGCGTTCGGCTCTGTGCTGACAGCTGGCTCAGAGCCTGGAGCCTGTCTTCGGATTCTGTCTCCCTCTCTTTCTGAACCTCCCCTGCTCGCTCGCTCGCTCGCTCGCTCTCTCAAAAATAAATAAAACATTAAAAACTTTAAAAAAAGAAAATAAAGTACACTTATTTTTGAGAGAGAGGCACACACAGAGGGCAATTGGTGGAGGGGTAGAGAGAGGGAGACACAGAATCTGAAGCAGGCTCCAGGCTCTGAGCCTGGTGTGGGGCTTGAACCCCCAAACCGCAAGATCACCCGAGTCGAAGTCGGACGCTTAACCGACTGAGCCACCCAGGCTTCCAAGTGATGGCTGTTTTAGAACCTTCCACACTTAGTAGTGCCTAGCGCCCCGCCCCCTGCCCCGCACTCTTTGGAAAGCTCGGCCCCGCGTTCCAGCCAAGGGGCGCCCCGCCCCGGAGCCAGAGGTCTTCCGGGGAACCGACCCCACAGCGCCGGCGCTCTACGGCTCTCCGCCCTCGGCTCTCTCAGCCCTTGCCGCGGGAGTCTCTTTGGAGAGGTTCCCCCCTCCCCGAAACAGCCCCCGCCCTCCACAGCCCCTGCGGGACCTCCAGTCTCCCGCAAGGCCACGTGGATGAGCACGAGCGCGGGAGAGCAGCGCCCCCTTGTGGCCGTGTCCTTCTGAACTCGTGTCCGTGGCTCGGAGAGACCTACTTGACCTGATGCTAAAGCAGCAAAAGTTGTTTTGTTTTGTTAATTTAAAAATTGGCGTCGCAGTCATCAACAACGTTCTTCAGGCTCTGGTTCAGCAGTAGGCGTCTTTTTTTTTTTTTTTTTTTTTTACAAATAGTTTATTGTCAACTTGGTTTCCATATAACACCCAGTGCCAAAGCCATAGGCTTCTTTAGTGAGTGCTCCCTGAGTCTTCCATCCGGATCAGCAGTCTCCCGTGCCGCCTCGAGGAGTCCCATCCCTGACCACCCTGCCCTTGCTTCCTGGCTCTCACGTCCTTGGGCTGTCACTGTCGGCCTGCGAAGGCAGGGACAAGGGCTGTCTTGGTCACCATTGTGCCCGCAGTCGGGGCACAAGGTAAGACTCAGACGACCCGCACCTCACAGGGACCGTGTGCATTTACTCCTTCAACACACATTTTCCTTTGTTTTGTTAACTAGTTGTATACAAAGGCTATCATAAAATTCACCCGTCTTAAGTGTTTTGATGATTTGGGGTTGCGTTTACAGACTTGTACAGCTATCACCACAATCCAATTCTAGAACACTTCCATCACCCTAAAAAGATTTCTTGTGCCCCATCCCCACCCCCAGCCCCAGGTAACCGTTGATCTACTTTCGGTCATGTCTGTATTCTTTTTACATTTTAGGTGCATTTGCTGACTACTTGCTTCCATCAGATTTTAAGTGCTGAGGATGCACTGTGACACACAGAGGCTCTGCCCTGAAGGGAAGTCAAAGTCTGGTTGGGGCAATGGCTAATGGGAGAATATGGCCACTCACTCACTCATTCAAAATTATTTATTGATGTTTATTGAATGCTTCCGATGTGCAAGGTACTAGCCTAGAACCTAGGGATAGAGCAGTGGGGGGAGAGTAGGTCAAAAACCCTGCTACGCTGGAGTTGATATTTTAAGGAGAGGATACAAAATAAAGAAATAAACGAGGAAATGTGTGATACCATGGCTCTGTCATGTTATGAAGAGAAATAAACCCAAGGAAGGTAAAGAAAATGATGCGGTGTGATTTTTTTTAATGTTTATTTGTTTATTTTGAACGAGAGAGAGAGTGAAGGAGGGACAGAGAGAGAGAGAGAGAGAGAGAGAAAATCCCAAGTAGATTTCACACTCAGTGCAGAGCCTGAGACACAAGATCCCACAAGCTTGGGATCATGACCTTGACTGAAATCAGGAGCCGAACACTCAACAGACTGAGCCACCCAGGCACCCCTAGGGGGTGTGATTTTAGTCGGGGGTGTTCAGGCGTTCTTAGCACATCTCTGAGAAGTAAACATTTGATCCGGAACGTGACGTATTTTCTAATGAAGTGTTGAATAGCTCATGTAATTTATTGAATACCGTACTGAAAGTGAAAAGCAGATGGTTATACGGGTACAGAATGGTTCAAAGTGAGTCCTTACCCCTGTGATGCTGGGGCGGACTGGGAACAGCCTGAGGGAGGAGATCAGTACTGCACATAAACGAATCCAGGAAAAAAAAAAAGCAAAATTCAAA